ACCGGGGGGCTTGGGCACAATGAAGCTAGACCCCCCATATTTCATTTCTCCCCCGCTGATAGCATTTATCAGCGGCATCCTGATAAAAACAAAATATGCAACTTAAGCCTGAGCAGGGCTTAGCCGCCGAGGAGGACCGGATTACCCAGAGGCTCGCAGGGACAGGCATGAGATTGTGCTGTCATAAAGGGCCATTAGCCTCTTGGCAAACTGTACCTCAAGCCCAAGATGACAGAGCTTTTCAAGACAGACAGGGTGGGGGCGCGGAAAATATGAAACTTAAATTCATCATGACAGACGGCTGTGTGAAAGGGACCCCCAGAAAGGTGGATTTGTGAAGATAAAACGAGCCTAAAAAAAGGCTCATTCTCTTCCATTTTGATTTTTTATTTGATTCTTTTGGGAGTTTCATCGACTTTCCTATCGAATTTCTTCATGAATTAGCTAATATCCATTGTTTTCCTCTCCTGTATGTATTTATATGAAAAGAGAGACAGACCGTCCACACAAAACACAATGGAGTAGACTCACTGACTGGCTGGGATTAAATTTAATACAGGATCTTGACAGACATATCCTGGAAGCAAGTTGCTCTCCCTGTAGATTTACTATAGGATCCAAGTATACATGTTTTTTTTTTAAATTATTATTATTATTATTTATTTAAAGATTTCCCTCATTACTTACCTGGTTAATCTACAAATATTATTTATTTCTTCACAGGATTTCAATCTTGTATGTGGTGCTACGTTTTGTGATTTAATGGTTTGAAGTGTTGACTTAATCTTAAAATGACTTTACAGTCTACGTGGAACATTTTGATTGTGAGGAAGCACCTATTTCATTGTGAAGGAGAAGTGGCAACATGAAACACAACTGCAACAAGGTTGGTTGGCTAAACTGGCCATAAAATACCGATGGATTGAAAGGAAAAGTGTGTGAAATTGTTTGGTATTTTGCTGAGTGGATTCAGGCGTTAGGCTACTTTGTGTTACTAGGCAACAATAAATGTGAGCGTAGAAATATCTCAGGTGGAGTTTCTCAAGGCAGTATTCTTGTGCCACTTTTTTCAATATCTAAGTTTACCCTTCAGTATTACTTATCGTGCAGATGCTGATAGTTTCTCTGAATGTCAATTAAATCAACAAACCAACAGTTTCAAATTTCATCCAACTTTATACAGAAAAGACACAGGAAATTAGGCAAAGTGAGGAATAACATAAGACTCAAGCTGAAGAACTGAGCATGCAAAAAACCTGTAGTGTATTGCTGTGTTTCATCTTGTGTATTATCCGTTGCTTTTTTGTTGAATCTTGTCATATTTAGTATCTGATGTATGTTATACTGCATGCCAACGTCAACCTGTCAAGGGATAACAGATGGAAACTGGGCGATAATCAGGCATATTTATAAATACATCTGAATCTATGTTCATTATAGATTCAAGTTTGTATTTCACCACCCAACAATGTCTATTGCTATATCAGTGTATCAACATCTTAAACATATTACCCCTCCTAGAGATTTTCCCATGGAAACTGGGCATTGGTCTGTTGAATGAATGAAACAGAGAGCTGCAGTTTATCTAAACTTCTGCTGCCAGAGTCTCAACCAACACAAGAAAAATGGATTATGTCACACAGACCTTAAGATCCCTGCACCGACTCCCTGTTGGTGACATGACAGATTTTAAAAACCTGTCACCCTGTGTTGGACATAAGAACATTTCAGAGTTGCAGGTTAAAATCTGGCCCACTACAACCAGCTTGAGAGAAAAAACAGGATTCTTTAAATCAGGAAAGTTTATTGCAACTTTCCCCCCTCAAAGTCAAAAATGGCCTAATTGGCACATTTTAATTGTACTTTAACCAGCTGTTAAATTAACTTTTAGAAAAAAATAATAATAATTTGATGCTTAAATGCTACCATTATTCCCCCTAATTTATTCCTTTTCTTTAATGTAATTTTTCTTCCCGCTGCTCCTTTAGTTTCTCGTAAACCACCTTGTGTGTAAATAAGTACGTACAAATAATCTTCCCTTTTATTCTAGGGCAGAGTCAGTTCACAACTAGACAGCACTGAAGACAGACCGCTTTCCCCCAGTGCCCTGTCACTTTCTCTGACAAGCGGAAAATGGAGGCTCCTCTGTTTATCTTTAGGAGATAATCTAGATTACTTGGTGGAGAACTTTCTCTTTACCTCGCTCCATCCGATGCCTGAAGGCCACGTCACGAACGAGGCCTGTGAGAAAGAGCAGGGCGAGTGTTGGGGGAACGGGGTGCAGACTGTCAGACTGGAAGGGCAGCGCCTCAGTCGGAGTCTTGCTCTGTCTCAGTAGGTGCACTTACCGTGTCTGCCGACCTGTCCTTTCCCAGAGGGCTTTGTGAAAGGGCAGAAATGTAATGCTGCTACACAGACACAAGTCACGGCGGAGTCAGTCTCCAGTGGCCATGTTGGATCTCCCGGTCTACGAACCCCCCTTTCCTTTTCTCTTTTTTTTTTCTTTTTTATCCTGGGCAGAGAGACTACAGGCGCCAGGCGCAGTGTAACTGCAGTCTCAGGTATGCCGGGCGGACGTTGAGGCTACTTCCCAGGACTTCACTTGCACCTGAGACTGAGTGACACGGGAACCAGACTTCAGCAATACCTCAGGGAGGGGAGCTCAAAGCGAGACAGAGCAGCATTCATAATTAAATGATGTGAATGAAACTTTTTTTTTTGGGGGGGGGGGTAAATTCAGTAAATTTGTTCCCATCATTTCAAACGTCTAGTCTTAAAAATAGATAGGAACACAAGCTTAGTTTGTAAACAGACATTTCTCAGCTAAGAGAACCGCCAATGTAACTGGTACTCTTTGAATACAGGTGTGATTTTGACAATATTACTGTTCATTTTAAATGTAAAACAACAGAGTGTTGGAGAAAGTATTCCTACCTCTTGAACTTTTAAACACTTTGTCGCATTGCAACAACACATTTTTCTGTGTTTTTTTGAGGGTTTATGTGATGGACTAATGGCGAGGCAGATAGAAAATTCTACGTGATTTATTATGCAAAATTTTGAGTGGAGATACATTTCAGGCATAGAGAGAAGAGCAGAAAAAGAGGGTGGGGAATATCTATGTGCTTGAATGACCCAGTCAAAGTTCAGGCCAAAATTAAATAGATAATATGTGATAAGATCTGAAAAATCAGCTGTGATTGAACAGGACGGTGGTTCTACAAAGTGCTGACTCAGGGAGGTGGAGTCAACTACGCCTTTAATAGTTTGATCTGGAAAGTTTTGAAAACCACAAAGCCTGTTCCTGCCCTTTAGCGGTTTTGCAAAAACTTTGTTGTGATCTGTTGATTATATAATTAGTAAACGAAAGTTTACAGGACAAAAAGTGGAAAAACTCCAAGTGATATTTTCTCTTTTTAAATGGCATTGTTTAAAATTAAATGTGTTCATTGCCTCCGGAGCAGCTGTAATATCAGTTTCTTCTCTCTTTTTTTCTCCTAATTTGCAACTTCTTAAAATGAAAAGTTTTGAACTTACAGCTGCTTTTTATTTCTGCGACGTGCTGCTGTGCATTTTTACGTCCACAAGGATGGCATTGTTTAAACACTTTGGCCTCGACTTCTTTGCAAGTCTTCTTCCTCTTTCCTCTGAGCGTTGCGGCATTGTCATGTGCAAAGGCTTAGGATGATTACAAAATAATTTGAAAATAGAATAAGTACGCGGTGCCTAAGTTTGAGGTTTGTTCCGTCTGTCAACAAGTGACAGCTGCAGAGCAATTTCCATTGTGGCGTGAGTGGTTTTGTGGTAAATGTGCGCTCCCATTTATCTAAAATACATCCTAAGCTGTGGCTGCCGCTTCATTATTCGAGCGAGCCGCATGGGTTACAAAGTGCATTTGTTCCCAGATGAAAAATATGTACAGAAACTCCAATGGCTGGAGTGTGTTTGTTTAGAGGAAAGAGGGCTTTCTAGTGGTGTGGAAAAAAAAAGTGTGTGTGCTAGTTTAGCTGGGGGAAGAGAGAAACAAGTGCAGAGAAGTTTACAGAATAGGTGTTTGTTTGCTCAAATATCTGCAGATATGTTTACTTGACCTTCTCGTTGTCAATCTTTGCATACATTTTTTTCATGCTTGAAACATAAAAAACAAAACAAAACAAAAAACAGATGTTTTGCACTGGCTCTAGCTGTAACTACAAAAGTCTAAATGTGGGAAACATTGCATGTCTTAAACATTATTAATATAGAACAAAGCTTTTTTTTATAATCACACATGATATTATTTAAGCGGCTAAAGATTTTAAATAGACATTTATCCATTTTGTATTAATGCATTCTGGTACAAAATGTGTGAACCAACAATAGGAGTAATATACATCAACACGATACCTTATATTCATTAATATTGTCAAGATAAGAACTATTCTACTATCTTTTTTCCTCTTTCTTCTAAGTGCCACACTGTTCAGTACCTAAAGTTGTCAAAATTCAATAATTCTATCAAAAGTCAATCTAAGTATAGACCTATAAGCCTATGCATATATTTTTTGTCTAAGTTTATGGTGTAAAGATGTGCTATTTTTAATTAAATGCATAAAGAAGACTTTAAACTCGTTCTTAATCCTTAAAAAGTTTTTATTTTATAATTTATTTTTTTAATAAATGTAAATAATTATCATAAAAACGTATATGTGCATTTTAATCTTATTTTATAAATGAACAAATCAAACTACTTTAAGAAACATCTTCTAGCACTTCTGTTTACTTGTGTTGCCATCTTCCTCTGTGCCAGATACATTTATTATAATCATACTGATATTGTTAATTCCATGTCGGATTCTAAATTTCTTTATCTTTTTTTTATGTTTTCATTGCCCTCAGCTGAGTCTCTATCCACTATCATATTACTGTAAACTACTGTAGCTTTGCTTGAGCCTGAAAGTGATGACTTCTGCGTTGTCCTGCGCAGTAGCCACCCGCCTGAACAGCCTCACTTTCCCATAATTCCACGGTGTGAGAGAACCATTCATCACAGAGCAGCACACAGCAACAGAGCTAACATGTCAGACAAGAAGCAGACCGTAGACTTGGGCTTATTGGAGGAGGACGACGAGTTTGAAGAATTCCCAGCTGAGGGTAAATATTTTGCGTGTTTTGTGAATATATAAGGTGCTTATTTAACTTTGAACAGGATATCCACAGCCCTAAAATTTTCGCTGCGAGGCCGCGCACAGTGACTCAGCTAGGCTAGTTGCGTTAGCATTTGCGAGCTAACCGAAAAAAACAAAACAAAACAAAACATTCCACTGAAACTGGATTATTTAACCACAATAATCAAATCTTCCAACATGTTGTCTCTGGACTGTATCGGAAAACTTGCATGTAATGTTTCTCTGCCATATCACTTCTAATTTTTACTGTACAAGCTGTAGCTCATCGCAGCTAGCAGTGTGTCACAACGGTATCATAAAACGAGACACAGTTTGCATTAAAATATGTAAAGGTTGTGAACTTAAACAGAAAAAAATGGCCTTATTTGTTACATACTGTACATACATTTTGAGCAAATGTTCGTATACATGCTCTACTTTTAGCCAGAAGGCGTGTTTATGTAGAAAAATGACGCAAAACCTTTTATAGGCATTAACGGAGAACATTACAACCTGAAATGAATACAGTAAAGATCTTCTTGCATCATTTTCGACTTAATAATAAAGATAATTTATTATTAACTTTAGTACCAGTGTCAAATGCAGACAAAAAGGATGTGTCTGAATATGGCATGAAGCCCTGCTTACACTACCTTTAGCACTTTTGACGTAGGCAATGTTTTTAGCACCAATTGATTAAGTCTGAGCTCACAAATAAATTTCATGACATTGATGAAAACAATACATGGTTATTGGTCTGCTACACAATGCAAACATTATGAGCAGTCTATTTGTTTGATTTAAAATTCAACTTATCTTAAGGTCAGTCGAACATTGTTTTGATCGGACCGAAACTTCAACATTATTCACCTACTTTGTTGTTTACAGCTATAGAAAAAGGGCTTTTTCCTGCTTAACTTTCTGTCTTGAGAGTTTAAAATACAAATATATAATTGTAACTCGAACTGATTTGCTGTAAATGTCAGATTGGACGGGACTGGATGAAGATGAAGATGCTCATGTTTGGGAAGACAACTGGGACGACGACAACGTAGAAGACGATTTCTCAAATCAGCTGAGGTAATGACTAATGTAGCACTACAAATGATATTAAAGCTCTCACTTAGCTAAGCACAGCAACATACCAAGTTGAACAGTACAGTGAAAATAAATGTTTTTTTTGTTGTTGTTTTTTTATGTCTCCTTCATGAATATTACATTTATTTAACTTGCATTTTAAATCCTCTTCCTCCGGCCCCTGTATAATTTAGTGAGACCCCTATGTTTTGCTGTGCAGATACAATTACAGTTACAGCTTTTGTTTCACAGATTTATACTATTTTGAAGATGTCTATTTGGGTTTTATATAATGGTGCAGATATGAGATATTTGTATTAATGTTACATCAAACAATAATGTACCCTCATCTGATATTCTCAGCAAAACTTATGTCAAAAACAAGAGTGACATCAGGGTCACAAATATTTTTGCTTAGCTCATGTTCTTCCTGTTTTGTGCAGCCGGCAGTCTTGAACTTTTGGTGGGGCTAATTACGTAGGGGAGGGGATTCTGACTGTCCTGCTGTTTTTAGATTGTGTCTTTTTCTGCTGCTTTTCTTTAGCGCGCTTTTCTATTAATGGTAGTGTACCATTTCATATTTCATGATTAGTTTTTAATGCCCTAATTATGTCTAAAAATCAGTATGTGAAATATATAAAAAAAAATGTAATTAAGTTTGATCTTAACAGGATTTATGTTCGGAGAGTTATCTCCAGGTCCATAATGCTTTGAAAACGCATATATAATCAATAACTGTAGATAGATAAGTGGCGGCTCTGTTTATGTTTGAGTACACTTGGAACTAAGTAATAGTAATATGCTATTTTATTTAGTTCAATTACAATAGACCTACCATTAAGTTGTTTCTTAAAAGATATCATTATTGTTTAAGGGCACAGCTGCCATCTGTATGTATAATCATCAAATCCATAGCTGCATGCATTATCTAATATTTATGTAGTTCTTTTTTCTCTCTCTTCCATCTCTTAATGGTTCTTACAATCAATACCAGAGGGTACTTATGCCCCAACCACCCACCAGTAATCATCTCTGCTGACTTGATCTTTTCTATTTTCTTTCTCCTTCCTGCAGAGCGGAGCTGGAAAAACATGGTTACAAGATGGAGACGTCATAGTGGCTCGCGCAAATTCACTGTTCAGTGACGTTGGACAAGGACATTTATATTTGATCATCTCTGGATGGCCGTTCGTCACAAGAAGACTTTCAAGGATTATAAGTCATTTCATTCTTTTTTTTTGTAATAAAAACTGATGTTTAGGAGGCAAAATGTTTGAGTTTTTTTTTTCTGCTTACAAGTTTTACTTCCATTAATACCTGGTTTAATTTTAATCCAAAATTATTTTAACGTATCATTAAGTAGTGTTGTTTTTTTTTTTTTTTTAATCGGGTAACAAATCTTTAAGTAATAATACAAAATAATCAATAGGTTTTTGGTACATACGCCATAACTATGTTGCAGGTATAGAAGAGAACCTTGTTTTGGGTTGAAATATGTACAATTTTTAAAGCGGGTTTGTCTCGGGGGTGGGGGGAGGGGAAGAACAACATCTTGAACTGCTAAACTACACTTTTTACCTCTAAAATTGTTCTTTAACTTTGGCTTGCATATATTTCTGAATTCCACTCAGACTGCTGTGCTGCACGAACTGAAATGTATTATTTGGCTTCAGTATTTTTACTGACAACTGTCAGGAGTTGACAGCGTGACAAAGGAGTGAACAAAAAGTGTGAGACAAGAGAAAATTGAGACGTACATAAACTGTGCACACAATCCAAGCCAGCATGTGGATGTGTGCTTTCGGTGAATGCCACACATCCAGAGTCGGTTCCTTAGAGCCAAGCTTCACAACGCCTCCCCCAACCCCCCTTCCCTTCTGAGCCCCAAAGTGCTGAGCCGAGTCCCTGAAGGAGAGATTATCCACTGCCGTGTTTGTCAGAGGTAGGGAGGGGGTCTCAGCATGGGGCCTGCCATGCCTGGGCCTGCCCCTTACTGCCATCCAGGCCCTTCTCTTCCGCTCAACACAGCAGGGACTCGTACTGAACCAGAGGCCAATTTAATCCTGCCACACTCCTCCAGTGAAATGATTTCTCTGTGTTTTCAACACTCTTGGTCCAAGAGTCCCAATGAGGTGAAACGGATGCCAGTGAGGCCAAAGGCGGTCCGAAGGTCGCTTCACAATACACAGCCACAGTTTTTACAGCTAATTTTTGTTCTGCAGTAATATCTGTACAACACTTGGTGTTTTTCAAAGACTTGTTTCACATGGTAAATATGCAAAATCAAAATGTGTAGCTTAAATTTATTGTAAACATATTTTGTCCTTTTATGTAAGGAAGTCAAGACCATACCAAAAAAATAATTCTGTAGAACAAATGCTATATGAATTGGTTTTGTGGCGTTAAATAAAAGACTAAAAAGTAGTAATTTCTTTAGACTGATTTATTTAGATGATGGTGTAAATATTTCTATAACCTGGAACTTCAGTAATCAGATGACGGAAAGGAAATTAAGCCTTAACCTTTTAACCTTCAACCCCCCAAAAGCCAAAGTAAAAACGGAAAGCTGCTTGTTTAAAAAAAAAAAAAAAAAAGATTTTAAATTAATTTCTGCTTAACCAGAACTAGAACCCAATAACAGAATCTCAACTGTAAAAAATAAGAATACGCTAAAATTAAAATTGCCGACATATTTTTACACAACATTAAACATGCTGTTGTTTAAAGTCATCTGAAATTGAATTGAGTCCTTTTGCTAACATTTTGCTAACATTGTAGAACATCTTCAGACTAGCACTGAGCGAGAGGCAGATTAACTTTGAACAGATTAGCAGCTGATTAGTGGACTAAGAATATTACATTTATCATTTGTGCTTAAGTTGTTTAAATTGTCCTAATCCTGGAAAAAGACATAGAAATTATTTACTTAATATGAGGTGAGGGCTATTAGAAATAATAATAAAAGAAACTGGGATATTTGATCTTTCATCAACAAAAACAATGGGTAAACCTTTACTAGATATTTTAAAATTTAGGATCTTACTGTGTGTTATTTTTATAATTAATGCTTCAGAAATAACCCCCAAACGCATAAACTGGATTAGATAATCAGATCAATAAAAAGTTACTAATTCAGATTATTACATTATTAGTATTACACACCAAAAGAGATGATTAAAAAAAAAGCATCCTCATTTCAGTTCAATTTAAATATACTTTATTAATTGTAAGGACAAATTCAATAAGTCATATTATGCAGGTTTCTCCAACGAGATCATGTAGAGGATGATTGCTGAGGGGAAGAAGGATCTCCTGTAGCAGTCAGTATTACTTGATCTGAAGAAGCCTCTGACTGATCACGGTTTCTTGATTTATAACAATCCGGTGAACCAGATGCTCAGAGTTGTCTGAAATGTTTATTTTTATTATGCTATGAAAAATCCTTCTTTGCACAATCATCTCCAGAGGAACAGAATCTGCCTTATTCACCAGCATGTTGAGCTCACTCTAACGCTGCCACCCCGACAGATGATAACAGAAGGCATTTCTCTCTCCACCACCGACCCATAGAAGATAACGACTCTACGCTCCCTCACGAAGTGCAGTTTTCTGTAGACGGATTCTTGTGTTTGCAATCTGTCGCCCAAGTAAATATTGAGGCGTTTACACATGCTTAACATGTGTAACAAACAAGAAATAAACCGATCACTTACGACTAATCCAAGTTACATTTGTTAAAGCTTTGGTTTCTCCGCTGCCGTCTGCCTTTGTTTCAACAGAGCCAGATTACACCAGATTCTAAGTAACTCACGTTGAGCTATTAAGCACTGAAGGCTTAAAACTCTTGGAAAAACGGCAGCTTGTATGCTCTGTATTGCACGTTCAAAGACCGAAAATGTCTAAGCGTGTTGACAAGCATCTGACAGTCACTTCTACTCTTCAGGGAAAATACCAAATCCCCGTTTACCTTGAGTTATTATCTCAATTATCTGCATATCGCAGCCAAACAGATCTCTTGAGCACAGAGTCTACGTTGCATGCTCCAGCTGCCGCTGATGTAGCTATTAATGAAAGAAATAAAACATTGTGCGGAGGCACGCTGCAGAAAATAAAGCAAGGTTTGGCGTGTTTGGCTCTGACTTAGACAGTGCAGGTCGCTCAGATCTGTCTTCTGCCGGTGAAACTAAAGAGCCCTGGGCTCAGATGCTCACGCGATGGGGCTGGGAAGTCACTCGAGTGAGAGAAATCGGTAAGTGAGAGGAACAGAGGAGGACCTGTGACCATTTTGTTTGTGCTGAGAGCGTTAAGATTGCTCCCCAGTGTTTGACGCAGTCGAGGGGCCTCCGCGGGGCCCCGTCGATATTCAGCCGCACAAAGACCACAAAGCCTGTGATTCTTCCGTCGCGTTCAGTTGTGCTCTTAATTTTTGCATCTGTTGTTGTTACACCGTCGTCGGGCAACCTGGCTCGAACGAGTCACGGTGACTCTCGTTAAATACTACACACAAATAATAGGCATAAGTTCAATCATTTCCACAAAAAAAAAAAAAAGAAGTTAAACGTTGCATCACTGAGCTCCTAAAGGCTGCAAACTGATTCTTTTCTTCCAGACTCTTTGATAAGCATTCTCTTATTTGCAAATCGTTTTTTTTTCTTTTTTTTCCCTCTTTCCCCTCGGCCCACGCAGTTCTGAGACCACATGCAAGAGAGCAGCCAATCGAACTGTGGCGAGAACTATTTCATAACACTTCATGTTGGGAGATGGCAGCTCCATTGTTCTCAAGGCCCACAAGGCTGTGGGCGAGAGTCCCTGCCGCGTCTGCACTGTAGAAACACACCAGCCTCTCAGGCTATATTTTCCTTTTTCTTTTCTGCAGAGGCTACTGTGACCGCTTCAGCTCCCTCGGTTCAGTTCTCCCTCTCTCTCTCCCTCTCTGTGCTTCTCCCCTTTCTCTTCGATCCCTTCAGCGGTGCGACGGGGTGAGGATGAAGCTGTCGTTGCACAGCTAGGAAGCGTGCAGCTGCTACTATAATAGCCATAATTGCACGTTTCTTTTGTTGGGCTGAAATTAACAGTGGGGCTACAATACTACTACTAAAACCCCCCCAAAAAAACCACCAAGTAAAGATGGAGGGGTGAGTTTTTTTTTTTTTTTTTTAACTCAGGAGTGCATTTACCAGAGAGACTGCCAACCCATTGCAGAATGGCCCACACCTGCATGCTCGCACCCCCGCTAAAGTAAACACAGATAATAAGGTATAATTACTTTAGAAAATAATAACGAGGAGGAACCCTCAAGACCCCCCCCCCTTCTCTTGGTGACAAAGGGCTGCTTGTTTATTGTGGGGGGTGAAACGGCCCCAAAGGACGATGGCGAGTGCCCTATCAAAAGACCTGAGGGCCCCACTGAGAGTCCCTTATAGGACAGCCATCAGTGTCAAGGGGGACTTGGGCTTTTAAGTCTTTTTTTTACGTTAACTGCCTCAATTAACCAGTATGGACTGACCACAGGCCACTTTTTCTGCTCCATTCATGCTCCAAAAATGATCCTGTGTTGTCTTCTTCGTTGACACGAGATCTGAAGGAGCAAGATAATAAGATCTGCTGTATCTATTTATTTACACCAGAAAAGAGAAGATGATTTTCACTGTTGATGTTGTACAAAACAGTTTCATGGGTTAGGGGTAAACAAATGCTGTCTGCGGCTCACTGAGTTGAAGAAATAAGGACACAGTATTTACAGTATTCACACAAAAACGTGACATTTCTCTTTACAGAATGATTTAAAATCAATCAGTGGAGGTAAGCGCAGGACAATCCTGGAGGAAAACTTGTTGGTGGGAGGCTGCTGCAAAGTGTGTGAGACTGACGCAGAGGTTCGCAGTCCAGCTGGACAAGGACTTTATAAATATGAAGTAAAAGCAACAATAAAATGTTTTTTGTTTTTTTTTAAATCAAATTATCTTAATGCTTTAGAGTCGTCTGAGAAAAAGTTTCTGCTTAAATCCTGAGAAGTCGTATCCATCCGACTCGTTCTTTGGCTCCTTAAAAGGACTGAATGATGGAAAAACTCCCCGCAGTTTTCAAAATGTAACTTTTTAAAACCTTGGTGTGCCTCAATATCGATATCCGGCCCACGTCTGGTGCTTAATAGTGTTCTTCGCACTATAGTTGCTCGTGTGTGCTTACTGTCCATCAGCAACCACAAGAGCTCTGAGTGTTTTGGTAAACCAAAGGTAAACACATTGGGAAACATGCTT